CAGCACATAACAACAAACAACAGGTGAAGAGTAGTGGAGGCAACAGAAACAGTGCAAGCTAATGAGCTGACCCATGAAAGAAATCATATACATCAAAAAAAAAAAAAAAAAAAAGGTTTTCACCCAAATCACAATGAAAAAAAATTTTTTGAGACTAGCTCAAGCTTAGTTGAGTGCTAGATAAAACCTGAGGCACCATCTTACTTATTAGTGCATTTTAATTTTTACTCATTTCTAGGGCAAATGAATGATTAGTCACTCCTGTGTCAGTTAAGTCTGACCTCGCCCAGACAACTTTTGAGAACTGATACCATACCATAAAACACTTTAGTAGCAGTAACAATTTTTCCCCAATGAAACAAATAAACCCAATTTACACCAACTGTTTACTGGCACTGAACTGCCAAACACTATACTGTTGGCAAAAGCCCCAATGCAATCCTTACAACATCCCATGTAACGGAGGTACAGTAATGACTTCATTTTATGAGGAAATTCAGGCTGATTAAGCTGTTTTGCTAAGGTCACACAGTTAGTACATCAGATTGGAAGCCGTCAACTGCAAGTATAAACAGGGGTTTCTTTTTTCACACAAAAAGAAGTTAGTCATTATTGTTATTCAACAATGCCACCAAAACACCATTCTGTGTTAGCCACTGCCCTCAGGCTCATGTTCCCTGTAATGCTTTTTTATTCTTGCATTAAAATCCCACCAGACAAGCTTTACTTTGTGAAATATCTCAGAGGTCAGTTTATACAACTCAGTAATTTCACAGATGGGTAAATACAAAGATTTGCTCCTGGCAAACTAAGAGAGCTAATTAGTTCAATGAGCCTGGACTAGAACCCAGGTCTTCTGACTTCCAATTCAATGCTCTTTTTTCAGGATGTGGAGACTCAAGTTGTCCACCAAAATCGGTTCTCCCAGTCTTTCTTGCCACATGGCTGGACTACATTGCTCAGCCTTCCCTGCAGGGGGGTGTGGCCCTGTGACTAATTTCTCCTAGGCCTGCCATGGCAGGGTCTAGGCCTTAAGGCAATTGACGTGCTGCCTCCTTGTGTTTTTCTCCTTCCCACTGGCTAGAATCAGTGGTGACCTAGCTTTAACCACACAGGTGATGACAATGCCCAGAATATGGAGAAACAACAGAAGGATCCTGTGTCCCTGAATGACTGCTTGGAACAGAGCTGTCCCACTGACCTGGACCACTGTCTTCAGAAATGTTAACTCTCCTTGGAGCTGTTACATGAGAAAAGAAACTAACTGCTTTCTCTTCAAGCCACGTGTTGTTGAGCCTCTGTTCCAGCAGTTTAGCCTTTTACCCTAATACAAGCACTGAAGCCTCCTTTGTACAGAGAATAGCTTTTAAAAAGACCAGGTCGGCATCTTTTCAGAAAACAGTCCTAATCACCCAAGCAAGTGATAACCATATAATGAAATCCGTTCCTGTGGCTACTATCCTAAGATTTCTAGCTGGCGGTTCAAACCCACCAGCCACTCCTCAGAAGGAAGACTGGGCAATCTACTTCCGTAGTGATACTGCCTCAGAAACCCAAGGGGGGGTGTCACTATGAGTCGGGGCTGATTCGACAGCACTTAACAACAAGAAGCTGTTATTCGTTCATTCAAAATCAACAAATACTTGTTTCTATGTACTGGGGACATACACAGATGACTACATTCATAAAGTTTGCTTTCTAATGGGCGTGTTTTTAATGGTTACCTATATTAAGCAGAAAAATCTTTTTTGTACTATGTGCAACTGAGGCTAAGAGTACAAATATTAAGCATTACAGAAAGACCAAACCACTTACTGGACTACATAGACAAGCTGTTCTCTTGCTTAGCCTGAAAATTCAAGCACAGTATTTTTAAGACTAAGAATCTAGTTCTCTTTTCAGGATTAAATATTTTACCTACTTAAACCAATTATCTGAACTAAGTGTCTAAAGCTTAGTCAAGGTGTTCACTGACAGAGACAGATGAACTTACTAGTATTGGAATTTACTACTAAAACCATTTAAATAGCAGTGCTGGTGTGATGGGCTGGAGACTCTAGGTACCTAGACTGAAGGGCTCTTCTTGTCTGGGATTAGCTAGGGTCAGATGGTGCAAAATAATGTACCTCCTCCTCACTCCAAGCTGAGCAGATAACCCAAATCTGGTCCCAGTGGGCCTTCCCAGCTCTTGACTGAATGAGATTTGGATGGTATTTGATAGTCTAATGAGAACTGAGGTTTGCCCTGGCTTTTGGGCCACAACTTGCTTTGCGGAACATTCGTTTTGGGGCTCAGTTTCCTCAACTATACAAGATGGGGCTGAGGACTCTTCCAGCTCTACATTTATGACCACCACTAGGCAGAACTACTTCTGTTCCCTGCACTCAGCAGTAAAGTCATTCAGAGGACAGCAAGCAGTAGGGGAAATCTTTATCAGGGCAATGTCTCAGACCAGAATGCCAAGCAGGTCTCTAGTGAGTGCTCTGCCTTCCCCAAATTTTCTGCTGCTGGTGAAGGAAAAAATCTTACTGAATATGCAGTTTCTAATAGGGCAGTGGGCACAACCCACTTAGTAGGTACATGATAAATATTATGTACTTTGATTTTTTTGCCAAGAATTCCCGATTTCTAATTGCCATGGAGATAGCAATGAGTTCAATGAGAAGCTGCTGTTCCAGGTATTTCAAATGAAAGGATTAAAAGCTTTTTTGAGGTAGGATTATTAAAACTAGTTTTTCCTGCCCATCCACTGAAGTTTTTTTTTTTTTTTTTTAAGCTTTAAAACATATTTAGCAACTTGAATGACTAAGGTTCCTCCCTAAAAACAGCCAGCTTCAGCTCTGATGTCCGCTGGCCTCATCTCAGTTCCACTCTGCCACTTACTGGCTATACTCCTTTGTGTCACTTTCTCCATTGGTTAGCAGGGAGACAGACACTATCTCACTCCAGGGCTGTGTGAGATCATGTACATGAAGTGCTTGGCTCAGCAGTACTTACCTCTATTCCTGGTAGGGAGATGTGACTTTGGAGCAGTTTGGAGCCCCTCAAGTAAATAATAAACTGATTAGGAAAATTATACCATGCTTAATGTAAAGAACAAGATGGGGTGGATACAATGATAATACCTTCTTTGACTAGAGAATGAATTAATTCTCGAGATTCAAATCAGTTAAAGTTGGTTCAGCTCCAGAATTCAACACTCTAAGAAAGGCCAATCTAATTAGATGGTTCATTGACTCTACCCTCTCCTCTATGCAGTCTTGTATGAATAAGTGTCAATACATTTACCAAGAATTCTTTTTAAGGTCTGCCATGATCCTTTTCCCTCTCCTCCAAACTGAAATTCTAAACAGCTCTTATGGCCTCTGATACTCTTACCTACACTGGTTGTGTACAGGTGTGCATCACTTCATGTACACAATACCGTCTGTAAAACAGGACATTATGTGATTTGGATGTTGTATGAACACTATATAAAAACCTTTCAGAAGCCCACTTCCAGTAGTCCTCATCACCACTGCTGCCGTAGCTGCTGGCTGAGCCAGGGGAACTGGCTGCAACAGTGGCAGCGGCAGTGGAAGCAAAGCGAGAGGAAGTAAACCAGGAGGGAGCAGAGCACACTAAGCCCCGCTTGATACTCTGTCCACCTGAGCAGCAGGAACAGCCCAGCCATGCAGCCCCTGCCATCACGACCACCATCTGCCTACAGGACAAAGCCCAAGAGCCCATGCAGAGCCACGTCCTCTGTCTCACCTGTTTGTATCCCACCTGTGGTCCAGTGCGCAAGAGTCTAGGTTTGGGATCTTTAAAAACATTAGGGGGAAATAATAAACAAAAGGAGAGCTGCTTTTCTCTATTTAAAAAAAAAACTTATGGTTAGACTTTGTCTGGATGGACATTAAGCAAAGCATACTATAAATAAACTATTTACAAACTCCCTGAAGGCAAGAACCACATCTCATTCATACCTGTATTCTGTCTAGCCTAGTTCAGGGCCTCTCATACAGTAGATTCTGAACATATAAAATATACTTAACATTGCTGGATTCAGGCTGCTCCAGAGAAAGGACTTCAACTGGAAATATCCAAATCTCTAATAAAAAAAATCCTCTCTGGATGTATTCCAGAAATATATTAGGTACTCAACAAACACTTGCTAAGTAAATGAACAGACAGCATTACCATATGAAGAATGTCAAAGGCAAGAAAAGTTATCATGTTGATAAGACCATACTATGTATAAACTACACATGAAGATATGTGTGTGTATATGCATACATACAAACACACGCACACACACATGACCAAAGAGGCTCTTACAAGTTTTTTATTTAACTTTTAGTCAAAATATAAATTTCTAACTCAACAGACAGTCACGATAGTGATTAACATACAGGTGCAGTTCAACAAATTTTAATCGTCAAGTCTCATGTTCACAGCCACCTTGGTCTGATTCCCTCCTTTTCTGTGGAGATTCCAAGAACTACTTTGGTTCACTTAATTGTCTCACAGAGGCTGGTTCTTTCCTGCCATTCACTCAAATCCAGAACTCTGGATTTGTGGTTCATAATACTTCAGTCATTTACAAAAGTGTCTGAAAACGAGATTATTTTTAGCCAGAGTCAGGGACATAAAACTTCTTTTAAGGATGTAGTGAATTCTGTATTCATCACCAAAAAGACTTCGTGTAAAAAAAGTGCAATCTGTGCTTCTTTTAAAAATAGAATCTTTGTTAAAAGGAAAAAAAAAAAAGAAACAATCCCTTCTTGAACTGCATCATCACTAAACAAATCAGTCACAAAAGGCTCTGATAAGACCTGCTGTTTCCATGACAAGAACATGAGACTTTAAAACCACACCATTGGAATGGAAGAAAACGGTGGCAGCTTTCTTCGTAGCACTGTGCAGCCCAAACTGGGAGACTGGATTCCGTCCACCTTTGCACAGGACACTAGACATCTCTTAAATGCTGGGTTTCAGCTCTTGATCATTTTGCCCTGAGGATCCATTCTCTTCAAGCTCTTTGTCAGGCTCTGGGGAAATACTGTGAGTTCCTAAGGTGGGGACAGCATCTGAGTCCAATCTTCTTCTTTTCCTCAGTTGGTACAAGTGGGATTTGGATTTTAAATGTGCTGGTAAGATAAAAGCAAAACAAGCTAACAAACCAAAACCCAACTCATTAGAATTTTCTTGAATTAATCCTAGAAGCAAATAAAATTAACTACACAATCCTTTTCTTTAACAATAACAAGATCAACACATGTATCAGCTGCTTAGCATTTTTAGAGGAAGAGTAAGTTATATGATCAGCTAGCTAGCTAACAAGAGCAAGCTACCATGTACCCAAGGGAGCGCCTGGTACCCTACTAGGTCCATATTTTCCATTGCTAATACAGTAAGTCCTAGTGGTGCAATGGTTAAGTGTTGAGCTGCTAAGCAAAACATTGGCGCTTCAAAGCCATCCAGAGTCCCATGGGAGGGAAGACTTACCAACCCATTCCTGTGAACATAACAGCCTAGAACATAGGGTGGTTCTACTCCATCACATGGAGTCATTATAAGTCAAAAATCAACTCAATGGCACCTAACAATAATCCTTACAACAATCCTGTAGCACAGTACTTCTCTGCTCATTTTATACATAAGGAAACTGAGGTTCAGAGTATTCTTATATTTTATCCAAGGTTGCACAGCAGGTAAGCTCTTCTGCCTACCTATAGTTCAAAAAGGAGACTCCACTTTCCAAAATCAGGGCTCTATGGTATAAGGCCCCCAGTTACAGATGCATTTCAACTTGCAAGGTTAAGAAATTATATATTCAAATCCTTGACTATGTTACAAAGAGATGTGCTAGAGGACTACAGATGCCCTGTCCTGCGTGCAGCACCCACCCCTACAGAGATGTGAAGAACAGAGCTGTCCTGTCTACTCCTCCCCTGCTGCCAGGCTGCCCCTCCTGGTCTGACATCCTATGGTCGGTTTAGATAAAGCACCTAAATGGCTAACCACTAGGTTCACATACTCTGAGCACATAAGTGTCCCAAAGGGGTAACAGGAGCCAATCTCATCTGTGGGTCCACAGGAGCAGTAAAGCTAAAGGGCCTCTGTTACTTGATACTAATTTCTAACCTCTCATCCCTACAGTTCCCACCTTCTGACTAATTCATCCAGGCTCATTTTTACTGTCTTATTCTTTTTCAAAGAAATCTTACTTGGGAACACCTAAAGTGGTAGACTACCAGATTAAACTCTTTTATGTATATTAAAAATAGGTCATTTTTAAGGGTTCAGAAGCAAGAATAAGTAACAAGAAGTCAGAAGTCAAAGAAAAGTTTACTTGGGGAAAAAAGTCAGCTTTGCTCTCTAGCTAGAGCCTAAGGCAAAAAGCGGGCTTCTGGCTGAGCTCTCCACGGCAGCAGGAGATGGGAGCAGGGACTTGACAGATGGCACTATAGAAGGGCTTACACAGCTACACTCACAAAGGCTCACAAATGTTGTTTCTCTGAGGCTATCCCTGAAGGATAGTCTACAAATCGAACCACTAAGTTTCCTTTAGGAAAAACAATCAGACACTCTCTTTCTCTTTCCCCTTTTCATAAGCCAATGACAATCGAGGCTTCTTCTGCTGCTTGGGCAATCAGCCGTCCACAGTCCCTAACAATGAAGTTCATTTTGCCAGAGTTACCAGTTAATGGAACGATCATTCTACTGGTTGGTATGGGGAGAAAAAAACTATTTCTATGAGAATGCCATGCAAAGCAGTACTCTCTACAGAAGGATTCCAGCTGCTGTGTAAATAAAAGCCCCACTGTGCCTAAAAGGAGTGAACCTTAAATGTGTTTCTAATTCTAAATATGATGGAAACTCAAGGCTTGGAGGAAAAGGCTCTTTGGGCTTTGACTGGTGTTCTGGTTACCTACTGCCGCTCTAACAAGAATATACCACAAATGGGATGAAACAAACAGGAGTATATTCTCTTACAGTTTGTTGTTCTTCTTGTTGTTGTTGTTAGGTGCTGTCAAGTCGTTTCCGACTCATAGCGACCCCATGCACAGCAGAACGAAACACTGTCTGATCCTGCACCAGCTCCATGATCCCTGCTATACTTGAGCCCATTGTTGCAGCCACCGTGTCAACCCATCTTGTCAAAGGCTTTCTCCCTCTTTCGTTGATCCTCCACCCTACCAAGCATGACATCCTTCTCCAGGGAATGGTCCCTTCTTACAACATGACCAAAGCAGGTGAGACGAAGTCTGGCCATTCTTGCTTCCAAGGAGCACCTCGGCTGCACTTCCTCCAGGACAGATCTGTTAGTTCTTTTAGCAGTCCATGGTACTTTCAGCATTCTTCGCCAGCACCACAACTCAAAAGCATCAACTCTTCTTCGGTCTTCCTTATTCATTATCCAGCTTTCACATGCATACGAGGCAACTGGAAATATCATGGCTTGTGTCAGGCGCACCTTAGTCCTCAAGGAGACATCTTTCCTCCTCAGCACTTGAAAGAGTTCCTTCGCAGCCTACTTGCCCAGTGCTACACATCGTCTAATGTCCTGACTGCTGCTTCCATTGGCATCGATTATAGAAATAAGCAACGTGAATTCTTTGACAACCTCAATCTTTTCTCCATTTATTGTGATGCCGCTTATTGGTCCAGTTGTGAGGATTTCTGTCTTCTTTATATTGAGATGTAATCCATACTGCAGACTGTGTTCCTTAACCTTCATCAGTACGTGCCTCAAGTCATCCTCACTTTCAACAAGCAAAGTTGTATCGTCTCTGTATCTCAGGTTGTTAATGATTCTTCCTCCAATCCTGATGCCACGTTTCTCTTCATATAGTCCAGCTTCTCAGATTATTTGCTCAGCATATAGATTGAATAAGTATGGGGAAAGGATACAACCCCGACGCACTCCCTTCCTGATTTTAAACCACGCAGTGTCCCCTTGTTCCGTTCGAACAACAGCCTCTTGGTCCAGGTACAGGGTCCTCATGAGTACAATCAAGTGCTTGGGAATTCCCATTCTTCTCAATGTTATCCATAATTTGTCATGATCCACACAATCAAATGCCTTTGCATAGTCAATAAAACACAAGTAAACATCTTGCTGATACTCTTTACCTTGAGCCAAGATCCATCTGACAGCAGCTATGATATCCCTTGTTCCATGTCCTCTTCTAAATCCAGCTTGCACCTCTGGAAGTTCTCTGTCAATATACTGCTACAACCGTTTTTTAATTATTTTCAGTAAGACCTTACTTGCATGCAATATTAACGATATTGTTCAATAATTTCCACATTCTGTGGGATCATCTTTTTTGGAATGGGTACAAATATGGATCTCTTCCAGTCAGTTGGCCAGGTAGCTGTCATCCAAATCTCTTGGCATAACCGACTGAGTGCCTCCAGTGTGGCATCCGTTTGTTGAAATATCTCAATGGGTATTCCGTCAATTCCCGGAGCCTTGTTCTTTGCCAATTCCTTCATTGCAGCTTCGACTTCCTCCTTTAGTACTACTGGTTCTAGACCATATGCCACCTCCTGCAATAGATGAAGATTGACCAGTTCTTTTTGGTACAGTGACTCTGTGTATTCCTGTCATCTTCTTTTGATGCTCCCTGCATCATTCAATGTTTTGCCCTTAGAATCTTTCAATATTGCAACTCAAGGCTTAAATTTTTTCCTCAATTCTTTCAGTTTGAAAAATGCCGAGCATGTTCTACCCTTTTGGTTTTCTAACTCCAGGTCTCTGCACATTTCATTATTGTAATTGGCTTTGTCTTCTCGAGCTGCTCTTTGAAATCTTCAGTTCAATTCTTTTATCATTTCTTCCATTTGCTTTAGCTACTCTCCGCTCAAGGGCAAGTTTCAGAGTCTCTTCTGTCATCCATTTTGGTCTTCTCTTCTTTTGTTGTCTTTTTAGTGACCTCTTGCTTTCTTCATGGATAATGCTCTTGATGTCATCCCACAACTCATCTGGTTTCCGGTCATTGGTGTTCAATGCATCAAATCTATTCTTTAAATGGTCTCTAAATTCATGAGGAATATATTCTAGATCTTATTTTGGCTCTCGTGGACTTGTTTTAAGTGTCTTCAACTTCAAGTTGAACTTGCATATGAGCAGTTGATGGTCTGTTCCACAATCAGCTCCTGGCCTAGTTTTGGCTGAAGATATTGAGCTTTTCCATCACCTCTTGCCACAGATGTAGTCAATCTGATTCCTGTGTATTCCATCTGGTGCAGTCCACGTGTACAACCACTATTTGCGTTGTTGAAAAAAGGTATTTGCAACGAACAAGTTGTTGGTCTTGCAAAATTCTACCATGTGATTTCCAGCATTATTTCTGTCACCAAGGCCAAATTTTCCAACTACTGGTGATTCTTCTTTGTTTCCAACTTTTGCATTCCAGTCACCAGTGATAATTAACACATCTTGATTGCAAGTTCAGTCAATTTCAGACTGCAGAAGTTGATAAAAATCTTCAATTTCCTCATCTTTGGCTTTGGTGGCTGGTACATAAAGTTGAATAACAGTCCTATTAACGGGTCTTCCTTGTAGGCGTATGGATATTATCCTATCACTGACAGCACTGTACTTAAGGACAGATCTGGAAACATCCTTTGTGATGATGAATGCCACGCCATTCCTCTTTAAACTGTCACTCCTGGCATAGTAGATCATATGGTTGTCTGATTCAAAATGGCCAAAACCAGTCCATTTCAGCTCACTAATGCCTAGGATATCAATCTTTATGCGTTCCATTTCCTTTTTGACAATTTCCAATTTTCCTAGATTCATACTTCGTACATTCTATGTTCCAATTATTAATGCAAGTTTGCCACTGTTTTTCCTCAATTTGAGTGGTGCCACATCGGAAAATGGAGGTCTCAAAAGCTTTACCTTATCCATATGAGTAAGGCTGATTTTACTCTGATAATGCAGCTCTTTATCAGTCCTACCTTGATAGCTTTCTAAGCTAAGTGACTCATCTTCCTCCTCTGTATTGGACAATGTTTCTGGACTATTCATAAATTTGCGCAGTAATATATCAGACAGTGTTTCTCTACTATTCATAAGGTTTTCCCTGGCCAATTCTTTAAGAAGTGGATGGCCTCCTCCTTCTTCTTAGTCTGTCTCAATCTGCAAGCCGGGCTGATACCTGTGCAACAGATGCACCCCACTGGGTTTGAAACACCAGTGGCACAGCCACAGTTTGGGAGGCTAGAAGTCCGAGTTCAAAGTGCCAGGCTCTAGGGACTGGGTGAAAGCCCCTCAACCTTGGATTTCAGCTCTGCCTCTTGCTCCTGACCCACTGAAGCTAGAGGCATCTCTTCACTCAGACAGCTAGTGGCTGCTGAGGCTAACAAGCCCAAGGTCAACAAATAAAATGGCACAGTCCCGATGTTACCAAACCACACGGCAGGCCATTAATTCAAGTCCATTGAAAATCCCAAGGTCAGAAGAGCATGGCAGGCTGCTGAACAATAACACAGCTACATGCAGGGTTCCAGCGTGCCGTAAGCTAGAGATCATTCCCCAAGGCTTCTGCTTATATACAGGAAGCAGACCACATTCCCTAAGTCAGCTACTCAACTGCTCACAGTAGATTCCACCATAGAGTTGATTATGAGTCTCATCATGGGGAATACTACATCCAGCTGCCCAGCCACTCAACCAGGCCCAGCCAAGTTGACACACAAACTTAACCACCACAACTGGATAACTACAGAAGTCTGACAGGGCAGTGCAATGTGACTTCATGGCAGAGGCAGATCCAGGCTGTAAAATCAAAGAGATAGGGCCTGAGGACAGGGATGACCCTTGGTTGGTTGCGGTTATAGACATAACGCTTTGGCTACCTTCTATCCATACACATCTGACAGACTTGCTTTCACAGTTTCTCTTACCACCTTTTCATAATTTTCATTTTAGCTACCACCGTCATTTCAATGCATTCCCTTAAAAATCACTGACACTGCTTTTGAAGAATGTATTCAGGAGGAGTAACAGCACTTCCTGCTCCCTCCCACCTATGCTTCTGCTTCTCTGTGTCTCTTAGATGAGTTGCTTGGCTTCCCTTCCAATGCTACCTCACCCCCAATGAGTTCTAAACATGAAAGGCCAATTAACTCCTATAAGGCAGGATCATTAGGTCAAAGGAGCTCTAGAAAATTGACTGCAGATCTCTCAGTATAAGACATCTACTCCAACTGAAGCTGGAGGGCATATGGTCTTTCTTTGAAATTCAGAATATAGAGACAGTTCCCCAATTCTGGAAAGCCTCCATGGAATCTGAGCATAAGTTCTTAAAGGAATCCAGCCATGCCTTTACAAATAAGCAGACTACATCCTTCAACCTACCAAAGATCCTAATTTTCATGAAGTCAATGTGACCCCACCCTTACAGATTTCTCTGGTGCCTTTCTGCAGATTCTACCTGCCCATTCTCGGTCTCCAATGATAATGCGATCACAGAGGTCACACATGTGATAACTTCTCTTGTTCTCAGTTTCGTTGCATGGCATCTTTATTGGAGTGGCTACAGGCTTGTGGCCCTAAAAGAACAAGGGAAGAGAAAAGCATACAATTCAAAGTTACTTGGGTAGCATTCTCTGATAAAAGGAGAGTGGGCTTTCTCCCAAGATTTCTTATTCTCACCCCAGAGAGCAGGTAGGCTATGAACAGATTTTACCAACAACCTTTCTAAATGTGAAAGAAGAAATGCAGCCTCCAGGGATCTAAAAGCAGCCAGCCTTTCTGTTTTATTCCATGGAAAAGGAGGCAACATAGCAACAAAGGTGTCAGCTAAAGAATGCTCTCTGGAAACCAGACAAAAGACTGTACCATGATTAATGATCACCTGGATGAAACTCTGTACGATTTCAAGAGCAGGTTCAAGAACAGACTCCTCCCACTTCGAGACATCAGATACCTCTAAGCCATAGACTGGGGGGACATTGGAACCAGGTCCTAATAATGACAAAGAAAAGTTGTGAGAGGTCAGCCTCAAAGGTCTTATCTATTCTGCTCCCAAGACTCCAAAATTTTTAAGGGCAACATCTGGGGCCAAGAAAACAAACATTCTGACCATGCTATTCACTCTAAACAGAAACATGAACCAAAGTGCTACAGCCAATCTAAGAAAGATCTAGAAGGCTGACTGGTCTGAAGCCAGTAAGTCTAGCTGTATAAGAGATACAGGTGCAGGATTTCCCAGATCAGTCAGGAAAACAGAACAGAATAGCAGCTCTATTCTGTAGAGTGACTACTCTGTGAGCTATAATTCAAAGACAGCACATACTAGAAGAAAATAAACTAACAGCTTTAAGTAAGTGCCTGTTCTAAGTTCTGTATCATCACACAGTGATGTTACCCTGTGGCATGAGAGTTCACAGTTTCCTTAGGAGCAGACACTAGTCTCATGTTTATATGTACTTTCAGCAGTCTAGCATTCACGAAACTCCTTGATCCCATGCTGATAAAGATGGGCTGGGAGCAGAATAGTACCAGCCAATAAGCCACTAATTTGAGAACTAGAAAGAAGCCTTAGGCTTGATCTAATTGAGCTCCCTTTTTTAGGAAACAGATCTAGATTCAAGAAACACACTCTGGTGAAAACGTGTAAATGAAGATGAGACTGAAGGTAGCAAAGATGACAGCTTCAGACTTTTAACCTATCTAAGCAAGCACCTTTCAAGAGTTTCGTCTCTGCTGGTATCTCCCCAAGCCTACACATTAAAGTGTCTTCCACAGCCTGGTTAAGTCAGTTATCTATATGTAAACAGCATCACTCTATGGACAAAAACATCAAAGGCCTCAGGATGCCAACGGCTGGCAGGTGCTGGCCTTTTGATTGTGCCAACCACAAATAAGATTCTTCATAAAGTGGACTGGGCTGCACCTGCCACCACATGGAAAGGTGAGACTGAGAGGGTGCAGGCAGCATCCACAGCACACACCTGGTCTTGGCTAAGATGTGCACCTGTTTCCAGGCCACTCTACATTTTCCTTTCTCCTCTAAATCCTTTGTTGGGCTTCTGTGCCCTGTCTAAGCACCTTTCAACAAGTTCTCGGCTCCCAGCTGCTGTTTCTGGCTTAGGTCCAAGGCCAAGCTGGGGTGGGGAAGTCCCTCTGGCATCCTGCCAAAACCATATCCCAGCAGACCAGCTCTGGCCAATCACATGAAGCTCCTGATTTACAGGGCAGCTGTGTCTTTCACTCCAGCACCAGAGCTGTGCCAGCATACACAGGAATAAGGAATGGGTTTATGACGTGCTTCGCCATCAACCCTGCCCGTCTCAGAGATGGGCGAGTATGGTGGTTTTACTACAAGATGAAGTTCCAAAAAATGTCTTTTGTTACTGTCAGCCCTAGGGAAAGCAGCATTAGAAGTATGTAGTAGTGAACTTCAATTTCAGTTGATGGTAGTACTTCTCCTATCTAATAGGACATGTAGAGAAGGCAGGATAAGTAGAAGAAGGTGTAAAGCACCTCCTGGCACCAGAACTACAGTGGAGAACTTCAGCAATCCAGTGGTTGACAGCATGGATCAAGGGGTATACAGAGGCTTCAGCTCTTGGGTGGAGGCCTCAGTTGCCCTTATCTGTAACTGAAAGCACAAATCTAATGGCAAAAGGTAAACATGGGATGATTCATAAGCATATTTACAAAGTGTCCATAAGGTGAACTTGAGATTTCACTTATGCTTAGTCTCCTTTTAGTTCACAACCATGCACTTTTTCTCCTTAGGCCCAATACTCATGTTGTCTGACTATAATCACGGCTAAAGCAGACAGAAAGAGTGGTAGAAAAGCAAAGCGTGGTAGACTGCATTTAATACTCTACTTCTTACTAACTTTGGCAAGTTATTTAACCTCTCTGGGCTTCCATTTCCTCATCTGTAAAAAGTAAAGAATAGTATCTACTTCAAAGACTCAATAATATATATCTAGCACCAAATTTCATGCCAAAGACACAGTCAAATGAATGAGAAACTCCTTTCCTTTACCTTAATAAAGCTTGTTTGACTAAAGTCAAAGTATGTGAACACAAAGGATATGGCAGAGGAACTGGAAGATTCTGTCTTCTTATACTGTTCACCTGGCCCAAAAACCATTTTCTAAGTAGGAAAGCCTCCCTATAGAAATTTGATTGCTCTTCAGGTACAAAACCTGAAGCTGCAATCAGCCCTCAGCATCTCCTCTGCTGAGAGAATATTTGCCATTTTGCTCTTACCTGTTTGCACCACCCATCTGTGCAAAGCATAAAGCTTGCTCCTCAGAGGAAACACTTAATTTTTCCCTATCACAAAAATATCCCTGGACAATCATTTATTCAATAGACCCTGCCCCGGGTCAGGTCCCAAATCTTAAGAGCAGGTACAGAAACTATACTTCATTTTCTGGGTGAACTGAGGATACCTACACTCTTATTGAAAACAGACCCAGGGGCTAAATAAACACATGAGACTTACTGCTCAAAAAACGATTTTTAACCCATCGGTTTTGCTTCCGGGCATATCTCTTAGTCACTTGTTTCAGAGCCTCAATACCTGAAAGATAAAGTAGCTATAAGAACATCAAGGTAACTACTTTTTACCTTGCTAAAAGACAGGTTCTCCTAGCCCAGCAGAAGAGAAAAATGGCCTACAATAGCACACTGCTCAACCTGGGAGGGACAGAAAATCCTAATTCTGAGCTGAACACCATCTGAGACTGTTCTAGCCTCAGCTCTTTCTCAGACCATACCAGTAGGGTACTCTGCCACCCAAGGATGTAAAATGCTAGGTTAGATGAAGGAATTCACACCTTTCTTTAGGAGCTGGTTACTAGTCTCTGGTGTGCATTTTCCCTCAGTAGTCAGGTACTCGTGAAATTCCTTGAAGCCAATTGATTGGAAGATACCATGTTGATAGTCCTGGCTGGGAACAGGAGAGCATCAGCACGTGAGCCATTCATCCGAGAGCTGGCAGGGGCCTTGAGATGATCTTGTTGAGCCATTTCATACTACAGGTGAGGAAACTGAAATCCTGAGCAGTCACTGCCTGGCTGAAATCCTCCCTCACCCTCATCAGCTCCCAGCTTACTTCCCTTGAAAATTATTTCCTGGGAATGTCTGACAGATTGGAAAATTGCAACTGTAACAAATACACCAAACCTCCTTCCAACAAGTCTTGCTAATGCCAAGGACAAAGGTTAATAAACAAGGAGATCCAAAGTAGTACCATGTTTACTGTTTTTTGAGAACATCTCAACAAGGAATGGATGGTAGGTAAAGGTAACAGCCAAATCCTCACCTATTTTCAGCTACTTTCTTCTGATTATACCGTCTGTGAAAATTTCTTAGTTCCTCCAAAAGTCCAGCAGCAAGCATGTCATCTACCCTCTTATCCAAGCGCACATCTAGAACTTCAATCAAATTAGCCCATCAACCAGCAAGCATATTGTAGGTGCCCATTATACACTTACATGGTGAACAGACAGGCAACACAAAGAGGAAAATTTATACAAATGGGAGGAAGGATTCAGATTTCAAAGATTAAGTAGTAATTCATATTATACTTGTTCACAATTAAGACTCTGCAATTCAAAACAAAACAAAAGCCAGTAAGAATGAAGCATATGCCTTCTTACCATATAAAGAGAAAATACATTTACAGCTATTTTTACAAAGGACAAGTATTTTATTCTTGTATGGAATATCTATTAATTAAAAAATTAATAACAAACACTTCTTCACTTCTTTATTGTTTATTATGAAGCACAGACTGTTCTAAGCATTTCATATAGTAACTTATACACATATATAAAATATATGTGTGTGTATAAAATTTAGAGGCAGCTGAGGGGACCCCTGGTCTACCCCTCCTTATTTTTCTTTAAAATATTTGTTACTATAGGAGCTCTGGTAGCATAGTGCCTAAGTTACTTGACTGCTAACCAGAAGGCTGGTGGTTCAAACCCATCAGCCACTGCTCGGAAGAAAGGCTGGGCAATCTACTTCCATAGTGATACCACCCTGGAAACCCAAAGAGAGTCGCTATGAGTTGTGAGTTGGGTCCGACTCGACAGCACATAACAACAACAACGATAGTAACCTTTTGTCCTATCTTCCTATAAAGTCTGCTTTTCTTGTGGGCTCACTATGTACATTCTGAGCACTGTGTATGCATTAAGTCACCTAATTCTCAATGAAGCTATGAGAATATCTACTATTTTCTCCATTTTACAGGAAAGGAATTGGGGCACAGAAAAGTAAACAAATTTGTCCTAAATGTACATAGCTAGAAGATGGTGAAGCAAGATTTTGAATCTAGATAGTCTGGCTTGGAGCCCATGCTCTTAGTCACTAGACTATACTGTGTGTCACATAATAATCTCCTCACCCTCCCAGACCTAGCTCAGATTATCTTTATGAACTAGTCCCTGACTCCCCCAGAAGAATGCTCATCATCCCTTCTCTGTGCCCCTTAGCACTCCCTATCTCTAGGCCAGCATTTATCACACTATGGTATTAATCTCATTTGTCACCACACTAGACTGGGAGCTCCTTAAGAGCAGGCACTGCCTCTTATTCATCCCTAAAACCCAAGTACCATGCAGCATACTCAATATTTCCTTGAATACTCAAAATATTGGCTCAATACTCCTATGACAGGGAATTACTATACTTAGTAACAAAAACCCCATACCAGGATAGCTAGCTAACCGTCATACCCTCTTCTTGGCTCACTACTTCTAAAATATCAGTGATTCAGCCATTCCAGGGACTCAGTCATCCTTCCATAGGAGCATTCCTTCTCTTCCTCCTTTAGACCTTCTTTAGATGGTAGTCTCTTTCCCATTCCACCCATCTCCACAGCCTACTCCTGGTATCTTATCCTAGGCCAGGGCTGTCCTTCCTCCCTTTCTAGATATTTACAGTAGCTCTGGTGGCATAGCATCTAAGGCATTTGACTGCTAACTGGAAGGTTGGAGGTTCAAACTCACCAAGCACTCTGTGGAAGGAAGACTGGGCAATCCACTCCGTAGAAGGAAAACTGCGCAATCTACTTCTGTAAAGATTTACCACTTCAGAAACCCAAGGGGGTGGCTATGAGTCAGAATCAACTCAATGGCAATGAGTTTGGTTTTGCTTTGAGTTAGGATAGGGAATGGTGCTGTGCCTTACTAAATCAATGAATAATGATTAAAAAATTAATAACAAACACTTCTTCACTTCTTTACTGTTTATTATGAAACACAGACTGATCTAAGCATTTCATATAGTAACTTATACACATATATAAAATATATGTGTGTGTTTAAAATTTATAGATGGACTCTCCAAGTCATCAAAGGGCCTTTACCTGTTTGGTCAGCATGAAGCCAGAGGATGCAAGGGTTAGGGAACTTCAGAGGGCCTCCAAGGGGACCACCACCTTCCTCTGCATGTTGTCGATGAAGAAATTCACTATGAGATATTCCTGTTTCTTCAAATACTTGCAAGCTCCTAAATCATTTAAAAAAGCAGGAGTGGGACGGGGGTGGGGGGGGACACACCCATAAAAACCATTAGGAAATATCCATTCTCAAGTAATACAAGAGGCTGTTTATTATAGAAAGCTTCATTCTTATTCTCATTGCATAAGCCCCTGAAGACATGAAGGTCCAGGGTTTTTCCAATCCTATAGCTAATTCAGAAAAAGGTCCTAAATAAATCTTAAGGTAAAGTAAGAAATAATACTGTTCTAAAACTAGATGGTGTCTGGCTACCACTGTCAACCACCTAGAAAGTGATCCGTGAAGGAGATCCAGGATAGAGTGGGAGAACAATGTAGAAAAAAACTCAAAATCATAAAAAAGACCAGGTTTACTGGTCTGATGGAGCCTGGTGAGACCCCTAAGACTATGGCCCCTAGCCACCCTCCAGGTCTGGAATTGAACTCACTCCCATGGCTTCCAACCAAACAACAGACAGGCAGACAGGGTGAACATTTATACCAGGTAGATATACTCCTTAGCACAATCAATCATGGGAGAAGAGAAGAGAAGAGCAGTATTTGCACAAGGAGATAGTTCAGGGGACAGGAATGCATAGGAAGGAAAGACATAGAGAAGAGGTAACTACAGGGAGGAAGTGGGAAGAGAGCTGTTATATTGTGGGGAATTGCAGTCAACATCATGAAACAAAATATGTATGAACTGCTGTATGGAAAATGAATTTGCTCTGTAAACTTTCACCTAAACCACAAATTTAAAAAAAAAAAAAAAAGAATACTATTTTTCTAAACACACACAGTTTTCTGAAATCAGTTAAACAGGTTCAGGAACAACAGGTTTCTTCTGTACAAACAGAATGGGACCTACTTCACTTTCAGGTAAGCAGTAAAAGAGAGCCTGTTTGGGGCACTTCATCACAAGTCAACAAGTCTAGTCTCGCTGGACAGCCTTTCCCACAGTACAAAAATATGTCGTATATCCAGCTCATCAACTTTCTTTTTAAATATGCTTAAAATTAAGAAAGAATGCTCCTGGCTAATTCAGTACTCTACTGGCACAAATATCACTGAAGAACTCACATTCTTATGCTTAAACTTATATTCACTTTTGTCTGTATCTATTATGCTATGCGGCACCAGGTAATTTAATTCCCAAATCTATACACTACCACTCTGGGTGATTGTAACTTATCATCTTGAAAGTGATCTTTCCCTTCCTGACCCAATTCTACTTCCTGAAACACTAACACAAGATTAGCAACCCCTTGTCTTTCTGTTATCAGTGATCACTCAAAGAGGATCTGTGAGAAAAAAATATACTAACAGCTCACTTATCAGGAAGTTAGAATACAAGCCTCAAACCCAAAGAAAGATGAAAAATCCTTAATCCTCTCTATAGAAGAGAACCTCAAGTTTTTGCTTAGTAGTAATGACTCTTGCTAAGAGAATTTTCAAACTCAATAGTTTGTTGTTGTGTGCCACTGAGTCGATTCTGACTCTCGAGGGCAGAGTACAACTGCTCCATAGGGCTTCCGAAGCTGTCATCTTTATAGGAGCAGATTGCCAGATCTTTTCTCCTGTGGAGCCGCTGGTGGCTTCAAATTACCAATCTCTCTAGTAGCAGGCAAGTGTTTTAACCAGTATGCCACCAAGGCTCCTCCCATTACTAGTTTTAAAGTAGCAAAATGAGAGGTGATAAGGAAGACTGATTAGTAAAAAGAGAGAATAATAATGTCTAAGCTCTAAAACCATGTTATGAAACAATGTGAAAATGAATGTTTTTTAAAAAATGAATATATTCATCACAAGTTTCTGAGTTTTTAAAAATTTTTTGAAAGATTTCTAATAAAATGTTTAAAACAAAGCATCTGGAAACTTTGAAATATAATTTCATTTATCTAGAATATGCACTGTTACCAGGGTGATACTACATTTAACAGGGCAAAAAACCTTAGATATTCCAATAATTTGTGGACTGCCAAAGCACAACCCTACCTGAAAGATCTTATTCTTAAGTGATAAATTTCACAGGGAGAGGAGCACAACGGGGGAAAAAGATTTTCTAAAAAGGATTTTTAGGGGGGCAATAATTTTTAAAAAAGGATTAAAAAACATTGATGTAGAAAATCTACTTGAGCAGGACATGTCCTAAATCCTATCAATACCAGGTGTTAACTATGATATTTAATTTGTATAATTATCTGTATTTTATTTTAGGTTCTTCAGTAGGCCTTCTACTATATCAGATGTGAAATCATTCCCAGCACTGTAAAAAAATAAATCTAACACATGAGACTGTAATATCACAACAACCTAAGAAAACATGACCTTATGAGTTCATTCACCAGCTCTCTCCCTACAGTCTCCATGTATAAAGGTGAGCTGACTTATGAGAATTTATAAAATCCACCACCCACTGGGAAAGCTGCTGGGGCAGAACTCAGCATTGCACAACCAATTATGAAACCCAAATCACAATGTAAATGGACTGTACACCAGAAAGAAATTTATATGAAAATTAGTATACAAGCAAAGATCAAACAGAAAATGAAGCAAGATTACACAGGCCCTAGGGAAAGACTACATTGTGGTACGCATTTAATGTAACAACAAACTAGGATGCAACTATTTATTGAGGAAGTTGGAGTAAGGCATTAACTTAGGGCCTCCCAACCTGCTGAGCTAGAACAACACATCCATCTCCACTAGCTGTTACCAAACTTCTCTTGTCACCAAGGCAAACTAAAGACCTGACTCTCCCCCAACTCTAAAGGAATTTGGGGTCAGCAGGCCAGCGCTTTCTTACCTGGCCACTTTGCGCTTGTCATGTGGGTGTAGCTTGGCAGCCATTTCTGGGTCCACTTGGCTTAGGCGTTTGTAAAGTACATGGCCATCCTCCTTTTCAAGCTCTACTTTCCGGTCAATCACTTTCTCAGTGTCCATCTCCTGGAGCTATTAAATGAGGATTATAAATAAATTTAATTCTGCAATTCCACAAACATGAAATTGAGATTGTGTATATGCCAGGTACTCTGCTAAGTGTTAGGAATAGAGAACAGAGATAAATCAGAAGATCTTTCCACACAGTAAGCAACAGATCATAAACAGAATTCTAATACACAGTGGAAAGTGCTGTGAAGCCATAACACGCAAAGAGGAAGCAGAATCTACTGACTGGGGAGGACTCAGGTAACCTAGTTCCTGGTCAGAAGTGCATACAAGTACCAGGGCTACCACATCTATCTTAGCGTAACAGGTATCTAGTCTTCTCAGCAAGGATGGCCAAAGAGTGGACCATAATTAACATATTACCACAATACAGTTTGCAAAGTCTCACCCCATGTAGCAGCATCTCTGTAAGAATGGTTAGTGTTAGAAATGTTCCTGACTGTATGGATTCTGCTGCCAGCCAGGAAATGCTGAAACAGACTACTATACAGTTAACTTACTTGGAGACGGTAAGTAAGCCACAGAGGAGCATTTTTCCCACACAGCCCCTGCCCTTAGGCCAGCCTAGAAGAGCACACTTCACATATAGAGGTAGCACTTGCTTCAGAATATTAAGTAGGAAAATTACAGTTGCTGAGTGTAACAGGCAAAAGTCAACCTTCCTCTCACTAAAATTCACAGGCAAGAAGTAGAACCCATTTCTTTAGCGAGTTACAAATGAACTAAACATACCTTGGTATTGACAAGAACTTTCCAAAGCAGAGACTCAATGTAATAATTTGTTCCTCCCACGACAATAGGAATTTTGTCTCGGGCAAATATATCTTCAATGTGAACATTAAGAAAGACATCACAATATTTTATAATCAAGAAAAGACTCTTGACTCACATGGGAAAGAGGGTATTAGCAGGAAACCATATTCATTTGTCTGCAGAGCAGAGGAGAAAGGGTGGAAACCAAGATGGATTGATATCAATCTTCACCGCTTCTCATGAATTCTCAGAATTATTTTCAGTCAGTTCTGAAGGAGCTTGCATAAACCAGAGATAAATGCACGATGGTAATTCCTTCCTAGGCTTTGCTGCTAAAATTCAAAGTTTCATTGGTATCCTAAATCAGTATAATGAGCACAAGCCCAAGGATTCTCAGAACCAAGTGTCAAGTACTCAGAAGGCATCAAGGTGATAACCATTGTGCAACTTTGCTTTGTAAGTGAAATTACATCTGGCTTTTCTAAACCATGGTTCTTAGACTCAGTCAGTTTCCACCATTATGTAGTGCACATGCTTTTGTTATTTCATACCTCACCAGATCAATTACAAATGAAGCACAGGCCCTGGACAAACTTCAATTACCAGTGCCAACTCTTGGGCAAGTTAACCTTTCTAAGCTTCAGTTTTCTCACCTATATAAGATCCTCATGAATTCTTATGAGCATTAAATGTGACAAAATACATAAATCCCTTACCACAATGCATGGGAAACAGTAACCACTTAATTTACTTTAGCCATTATTGTGTTGTTTTTTTATCTCCCTAATACTTTGAATTCTTTTCTTCAGAATCTCTGTTGAACATATAATTATCTGCTTTAAGATGGGCTTTGCTTCTGAGGATAATTGATAAAAAATTACTTTTAACATCTGAAAAATTGTTTACACACTTCTTCTCCTTGCCGGCCAGTCTATGGGCACAGAGATAGATAACCTTTTCTATCAACAGTCCTAGGAGCGCTGGTGGTGTAGTGCCTAAGGCATTTGACTGCTCACCAGAAGGCATGCGGTTCAAACCCACCAGCCACCCCTTGGCAGAAAGACTGGGCAATCTACTTCCGTAGTGATACTGCCTCAGAAACCCAAGGAGGGGTCGCTATGAGTCGGATGCAACTGGACAGCAGTGAGTTGGTTTTTTTTTCTTAAATCAAAAGCCCAGTTACCCTTATGAGATTGGGGAGGATGAAGAGAAAGAAGCTACCAATAAAAGACCATAAAGAAGAATTACTGCCTATTTGTTTTAAAAAGAGAAACAGAAATTTTCTATTTTACCCTTTAATTATAGGGAATTATAATTATACAGTAATTATACAGTAAAACAAAACTGCAACTAAATAATATAATTAGCAAAGTGAAAGGGAGTAAGGAAATGATGGGGAAATGGTAAGAAGATACCAGAAGAAGGGGAACAAATGGAAGAGGAAGGGTGAGATGGAATAGGATATATATGGTGGGAAAAGGCTTATTTGTCTGTTCAAAGCCATGAAAACACTGTGATCTTCAGCAAAACCCTTCTCCTCTCTGGGCCTCAGTATCTAGTAACTTATCTGTCAAATCAAGGTTGACATTCTGACATTCTGATTCTAAACTCCTCTCTAACTTCACAAATATCTTAACCTACAAGTGATCTGATTGAGTCATTCTCGTTATTGCTGCCCCTTAACAATCTTATTTATTAATTTGTATCAGTTCTTTCTGGACAAGTCAATTGTCTTACTGCAATGACTTATATGTGGTGATACATGTTAAGCTGCAAAGGATTTTCATATACATTATCTCATCTCATCTAACAACCTTATAAAGCAGGTAGGGCAGGAATTATTAATAGCATTTAATCTCTACCCATTTCATAGGCTTAAAAAAAAACAACTATCACATTATTTTGATTTGCATGTCCTTGATTAATAGCAAGGGTAAACCTTTTTTCATATTTATTACCATTTGTATTTCTTCCTTTGTGAATTACTGTTCACACCCTTAGGTATTTTTCTTACTGATTTGTAAGAATTCTTCACGTATTAAGAATATTAACCATTTACCTTTTTATGTTATATGTATCTTCCCTCTGGTTTGTACTCTGCTTTTTTTCTTCTTTTTTAATTTTTATTGTGATTTGGGTGAAAGTTTACAAAGCAAATTCATTTTCCATACAGCAGTCCACATACACTTTGTCTCATGACATTGACTGCAATTTCCCACAATCCAGCAGCTCTCTTCCCACTTCCTCCCCATAGTATACCTCTTCCCTATGTCCTTTCCTCCCATGCACTCCTGCCCCCGAGCTGTCTCCCTGTGCATACATAGCCCTTCTATTCTTCCATAACTGATCTCTCCAAGGAGTATATCTATCTAATGTAAATGTTCAGCTCATATGCCTGTCTTTTGTTTGGCTGGAAGCCACAAGAGTGGGTTCAATTACAGACCTGAAGGGCACCTAGGGATTATAGCCTTAGGGGTTCCACCAAGCTAGTCAGACCAGCAAACCTGGTCCCTTTTTTTTTTTAATGATTTTGAGTTTTGTTCCACATTGTTCTCCCACTCTATCTAGGATCTCCTTTATAGATCCCCCTCTGATGCACTCTGCTTTTTAAGTTTCGTTCATAGTGGGCTGTTTCCTTTTTTAAAAATTATAAAATATTTAATACATACAAAAGAATATATGTAACGTATGTAAATTACGAAGCCTAATGATAAAAGAGACACTCATGAACTAATGTAAGAAATGGAGTATTACCAATTCCTTTGAAATACCCTGTGTATTCCTTTTCCATCCCAACCTCCTACTTACCCTCAGAAGGAACCTCTACCTTGAATTGTTTTTTTAATTCTATGTTTTTCTTTGTATCAATGCTACTCAATTGGTTAGTTTTGTTTGCTTTTTAACCTTAATAATAAATAGTATCAACATGCATGTATCCTTTTGTATCCTCTCTTCCCCTCAAAATTATTTTTTTGTGGACCTGGACGTGTGTTCTTTTATGTATTTTATCCAGCTGCTATTTCACTGCTGGAAAGTATTTAACTATACGAATACAGCAAATTTCATACATTCTTCCGGAAGTGGGGATATGGATGCCTATATGGTTTTGCTATTAAAAGTAATACTATTACGAACAAGATCTACCACATTTCTCCTGGTATACTGTACAGGAGTTTCTCTAGGGTATATACCTAGGAGTTCTGGTTAATACTTCTCCTCACCAGTACAAATTCTTACATATTCAAATCTAGCTATTTTCCTTCTTTAAAATATATATATATATTTACAAATACCTTCCCTACTCTAACATCACATAAGTACTCAACTATATGTTCTCCCATTTGTTTTAAAGTTGCACTATGTATCTAAATAAAACTCTGAACTCTATGCAGAATTTATTATTGTGTCATATATGAGGACCTGACCTTATTTTTCTTTTCTCCAGGAACAATTATTAAGTACTTCATCATTCCTCCATTGTTTAAAAATGCCACTTTGCCCAGGTGTATAGTAGGGCTGACAAGGGACAAAGTTATGGTCACTTCTTGGTCACAGCCACCTACCCAGAGGGACTGAGTAGTTGAACCTGTGGGCTTGGGACCAGAGTCACAGGGGACATATTGGCAATAACATACTACACAAAACATTGTTCCACCTCCTACTTTGGCGAGTAGCGACTGGGATCTTAAAAGCTTGCAAGCAGCCATCTAGATGCAACGATGGGTCTCTCCTCGTCCAAAGCAAAGAAGAATGAAGAAAACCAAAGATTCATGGAAACAATTAGTCCTAGTGATTGGCACACCATCCAATCCTCAGCCTATACGACCAGAAGAACTAGATGTTGCCCAGCTACAACTGTCAACCACCTGGAAGGGGATCTGTGTAGGAGATCCTGGATAGAGAGGGAGAACAATGTGGAACAAAATTCAAAAATCACTTGGGGAAAAAAAAAGTGGGGGGGGTGGTTTGCTGGTCTGAGAGAGAACCTGGTAGAACCACTGAGACTGTGGCCCCTAGCTGCCCTTCAGGTCTGGAAATTGATGCCACACCTGTGGCTTCCAGCCTAACAAAAGACAGGCATATGAGTTGAACATTTACCTGAGGTAGAAATACTCCTTGGAGAGAATAATCATGGAAGAAAGAAGAGCTATTTATGCACAGGGAGACAGCTCAGGGGGCAGGGGTGCATGGAGGGATGGATACAGGGAAGAGGTGACTGTCAGGAGGAAGTGGGAGGGAAGCTGATGCATCGTGGTGAATTGTGGTCAATATCATGAGACAAAGTATATATGAACTGCTGTATGGAAAGTGAATTTGCGCTGTAAATTTTCATCCAAATCACAATTTAAAAAAAAAAGCCAATTTGATCATAAGCTAAATATATACATACATTTGACTTTGAACAGGGGCTTTCTATTCTGTAGCATAAATATGTCTAGTTTTATGTAAGTTTCATGCTATTCTATTAAGACTTTTCAAAGTCTTAATATCTGCCAGTCCAAGTTCCTCTTTATATTATTCTTTTTCAAAAATCTCGTCTCATTTTTTCTAGTCTTCCCCACCCAACAATTCCTTTGAAATTCTAATTGTAACTTCAATATATTTATAAATTCATGTGGTATCACCATTTAAAGAGTAGGAAGCTGAAGCTCAGGAGAGTTAATTAAATGCTTTACCCAATAAAATTCACAAGATAAAAAGCAGCAGCTCTAGGACTAGAACACAGATCTTGTGATCCCTAAGTCAGTGTTCTCTCCACTAAACCAGTGCTTCTCAAATTTTAATGTGCCTATGAAACAGATGAGACTCTTGTTAAAATGTAGATTCTGATTCAGTAGATTTGAGGTAGGACTCAAGATCCAGCATTTCTAACAAACTCCCATGAAATGCTGTCTTCTGAGGACTACATGGTGAAGACCAAGGTACTCTATGTTTCAATCCACATGGTTCTCATAGGCATGTTCCCTCTTGATAGTTAGGTCTTCAGTGGCCCTGCTTAAAAGAAATCATCACTATGAGGAGGAAACTTCTTGCTTGAATTGGGCTGCCTTGTACCTATGAAGCCTAGTTGCTAACTTTCTGAAGGATATCAGAGTAGTTGCCTTGTTCCTGAAGTCCACCACTGTGAAATTTGTCACAAGAGGATCCACAAAGCTGATCATATGATGCTGGCAGAGTCTCTGCTCTTGGGCAGAAACCTTGTTGGTGATGATGTCTAAGCCTTCATAGACCTACGGGAAAGAAAATGAACATGAGAAAGTCATCTACTTCCATAAAATGCACACTTGATGGATGAACTAGTGGCCTACTCTTCCAGCCAAACACTTGACTAATCTAAAGCACCAGGGTAGACATGTTCTAACACAGGTACTGAACACACGTCCAGGTCCACAAAAGCCAAGAAGACAGGAAGCAGAAGAAATTGAGCACTGGCCTTTTTATCAAATAGTAGCTATTAGTACACTGCATTACTGCTATTATCCTTCACTGCAGCACTATTCACAATAGGCAAAAGGTGGAAAAAACCTAAATGCCAATCAACATGAACGGATAAACCAAATGTGGTACATACACACAATGGAATATTACTCAGCCATAAAGTCCTGATCCATGCTACAACATGGATAAACCCTGAAAACATTATGCTGAGTGAAATAAGCCACAAAAGAACAAATATTGTACAATTAAACCTATATGAAATAGGCAAATATAGAGAGACCAAAGCTCATTAGCAGTTACCAGAGATGGAAAGAACCTATACATAAACCAAGAGGCAATCATTCAAACAGAGTAAGGGGACAGTGTATGGGAGCTCTGGTGGCGTAGTGCCTAAGGCATTTGACTGCTACCCAGAAGGCTTGTGGTTCAAACTCACCAGCCACTCCTCGGAAGGAAGACTGGGCAATCTACTACCACAGAGATACCGCCTCGGAAACCCAAGGAGGGGTCGCTATGAGTCAAATCGACTCGACAGCAGTGAGTTTGTGTGTGTTTTACTGCATGATTTAAAACCAAGAAAGCTGTACATCAAGGTTGTATCCTTTCACCATAATTATTCTATCCGTATGCTGAGCAAATAATCCAAGAACCTGCACTGTACTAACAACGTGGCATCAGGGTTGGAGGAAGACGCATTTACAACCTGAAACATGCAAATGACACAACCTTGCTTGCTGAAAGTGAAGATGACTTGAACCAATTGCTGAGGAACACCACAGACTACAATCTTCATTATGGATTACACTTCAACATAAAGAAAACTAAAATCTTCACAAGTGGATCAATAAGCATCACGATAAATGGAGAAAAGATTGAAATTGTTAGGGATTTCATTCTACTTGGATCCACAATCAATATCCATGGAAGCAACAGTCAAGAACGAAGATGATATACGGCACTGGGCAGATCTGCTGCAAAACACCTCTTTTAAAGTGTTAAGAAGCAAAGATGTCACTTTGAAGACTAAGGTGCACCTTACCCAAGCCATGGTATTTTCAATAGCCTCATATGCATGTGAAAGCTGGACAATGAATAAGGAAGTCTGAAGAACTGATGCATTTGAATTGTAGTGTTGGTGAAGAATATTGAAAATACCATGGCCTGCCAGAAGAAGAAACAAATCTGTCTTGGAAGAAAAATACAGCCAGAATGCTCCTCATAAGTGAGAATGGCCAGATTTCACCTCATGTACTTTGGTCAGAAGGGACCAAGCTCTGGAGAAGGATATCATGCTTCATAAAGGGTCAGCGAGAAAGGGGAGGGCCCTCAAAGAGATGGAGTCATACGGTGGCTGCAACGACGGGCTCAAGCATAGCAAGGATGGTGAAGATGATGCAGGACAGGGCAGTGTTTCATTCCGTTGTACACAGGGTCACTGTGGGTTGGAACTGACTCGCCAGCATCTGACAACAGAAGTGAAAGGGAGGGAGAAAGAGGGAGTCATTGCTCAGGGGGCAGTGAGTTTCTGTCAGTGATTGTGGAATATTTTGGAAAAGAACAGTGGCGGCTGTGTAACACGATGAATGTAATCAATGCCACTGAATTATACATGTAAAAATTGCTGAACTGGCAAATGTTTTGTTACATATATTTTCACCATAGTTTAAAAAAAAAGTGGCCATTAACTCAGGCTTAAAGGTAAGACGCATATGCAAACCTATGCTCAAGTGAGAAATAATTCTGCAAGATTAAAAGGAGGCTCTTTAGACCTGAATTTTAAGCATTTAAAACTGGGCAGGTTGTTTTATTTATTCTACTTATCAAAAATCTCCAAAAAGGTAACATTTCACATTGCTCATAGTTCTACTTCAAAATGCCTAGAAGTTTCTTGGATTTCAACGGCTCTGAAAGGTTTTTAGAATTTATACAAGATTGACTCAATTTGTGAAGTAGCCTATCTACTAAAATACATATAAAATATACACATAAACACTTTGAAGTCAGAACTCCTAATAGTGCTGTGCTCTAGTGGAAACACTGTGATTTATCCAAATTACTGCTTCAGGGGGTCAGCTCATACAGTCTAAATACTCACACGCAATATCCTGTCTATAAGCTCTTGATCTCCCAATTCAACTAAAAAGTTCAAGTGTACTTTTTCTAAATGCAAGATGGAGAGCAGATTTGAAAATACTAGTTTGAAAATAGGGATGAATGCTTTGAGATTAAATGTTCTCTCTGTAATCACTGATTCTACAGAGAGCACTGAACGAACAAATAGTAAGTTCCACAGAGCCCACAAAGACTTTAAAAGCATTTTTTTATCTCGTTTCCCTTTATTTATATGGGTGTCAAATAAACACAGTACAAGTATAATGGTTAAGAGGAAGGACTCTGGCGCCAGGCTGCCTCAGATCAATTCCTACCTCTGTCATTTACTCGTTATTATTACTTGGAGTAGTTAGTTACTTAACCTGTCTGTGCCTCAATTTCTCATTAGTAAAATGGGAATAATAGTATCTCACAAGGAGCTCTGGTAGCAGTGGCTAAGACACTTGACTGCTAACCAGAAGGCTGGCTGTTCAAACCCACCAGCCACTCCTCGGAAGGAAGATGGGGCAATCTACTTCCACAGTGATACTGCCTCTGAAACCCAAGGAGGGGTTGCTATGAGTCGGGTCTGACTCGACGGCACATAACAACAACAACAGTATCTCACAGAGTTGACAGAATTATATGAGTTAATAATTGCAATGCTGTGAATTATTTAACACGGCCCTGCTAGCCATCGTCTTCTATTTTGTGATGTATTATAAATCCTAGTCTCTATGCCTGTTTAGGGTGGGATATATCTTGAGTCCTTGCTGGAGGGTGTGACTCAAGTCACCACCCTTAGCTTCCTTGAGGAATGTGAATGTCCTGGGAAAGTTATCTCTCTTGTTCCAGCTTGTGTTTGGTTGTCATCAGCTCACCAGTGGACTTGAGACAGCAGCCAGTCATCTGACCCGCTGATTTGGGTTTGCCAACCCCTGCAACCACATGAATTGGGTGATTCCTCCAGACCTACCCACAGACTTGGGACTTGCCAGCCTGCCAGCCTCCACTACCACCATGTGAGTCGTTTTCTTGGGAGTCTGTGGGTTCTGTGAGACATTACAGTAAAACATAAAACCCTAAAACAAGAGGGAGATTACTGAGGGGAGGAGGAGAAGTTGATATCAGAGATGATGGTGTGGCACAGCAGTTTGGGAAAGTTGGACATTTGGGACATCTTTAACCTGCTCTGCCTTTCTAAAAGAAATTATTCAAGCAATAATACACGTAAACATACAGTTTGGATGTATTCTTTTTTAATCAATAAATTAAACAAGTTTGCGATATATTTAAAAATAATAATACATGTAAAACACTTAATTTTTTGTCTGGTATGCTGTGGATGCTATATTACCACTACCACTATTGCTACCAGAACAATACAAGGAGAAAGAGAAATAATTTTAATGTCACTATTCATCACTCTGAACCCTTTGGGCTCTCAGCTATGAGTTTATCTACGCAGGATATAAGCTATCCTCAACATAATAAAACTGTCATTACTGAAACAGTGCACAGAAAAAAACAGTAATATAAGTAAGAGCCATAGGGAAAGAATCAGCTATGTCTTTAACACATTTAATCTGTGCCTGACAGTAGAATTACATTCTTACACCTGACTATTGATGGAATCTTAAATTATAGGCTGTTCTTTACTCTGTACCTTGAACAAGACTCCCTTCTGATGTTATCAAAGTGCCACAGGAAAATATACTAGTGTCTTCTAATGCGCAAATTAAGAAAACTAAAAGGGAAAAAAATCAAAACCAAACCCAGTCACTGAGTCGATTCTCACCCATTGTAAACCTTTAGGACAGAGTAGAACTGCCCCACAGGGTTTCCAAAGCTGTAAATCTTTATGGAAGCAGACTGTCTCATCTTTCTCCCACAGAGTGGCAGGGGGTTCAAACTGCCAACCTCTTGGTTGGTAGCCAAATACTTTAACCACTATGCCACCAGAACATTAATAATTGTACTTTCCTCTTTTCCCAGAGCCCTTACTTAGTTGGAAGGAGAACTGGTGGGTAAGGCTACTAACCAGAAGAATGTTGGTTCAAACCTACCAGCTGCTCCACAGGAGAAAGATGGGACAATCCACTTCCACAAATATTTACAGCCTTGGAAACCTAGTTGCTATGAGTGGGAATCAACTCAACTGCAGTGGATTTGGGGTTTACTTAGTTGGCTCTGCTGTGCCTTAGAATTTCAAATGACCCAATGTTAAAGAACTTAAACACAGCAACAATTTGATTTTTCCAGTCAAGGGTGTCTGAACTCTAATAAATAACTTACAGTAAAGAGGAATCTCATCTTTAACACTGGGATTAATGTTAAAGAAATGTTGTTGTTGTTGTTGTTGTTGTTATGTGCCGTCGAGTCAAGCCCGACTCATAGCAACCCCTCCTTGGGTTTCCGAGGCAGTATCACTACGGAAGTAGGATTGCCCAACCTTCCTTCAGAGGAGTGGCTGGTGGGTTTGAACCGCCAGCCGTCTGGCTAGTAGGCAAGTGTCTTAGCCACTGTGCTACCAGAGCTCTTTAACACTGAGATTAATGTTAAAGAAATACAAGTTGTAAATATACAACTACCAACATGTTCCATCAGAGACCCAAAATGGATAGATAAAACTTTCATCCCGTGATAGACCTTGAAGCCTGTATCCTAAATGCCCTTATATTAACAAGTTTAAAAAAGAAAC